ATGGCTCTGCTTCTTCATGGCAGAGAGAGAGAGATAGAGAGAGAAAGGGAGAACACTCTGGTCTCTTCTTCTTATAAAAACACCAGTCCCATCATGGGGGCCCAACCCTCAGGACCTCATCTAAACCTACTTACCTCCCAACAGTTTTACCTCCAAATACCATCAAATTGGGAGTTAGAGCTTCAACATATGACACTGGCAGGGGTACAAACATTCAGTCCACTGCAGTGTGTGTGTGTTACTGATGAGTGATACATGGGACTGAGATGTGAAGAGTTGCATAAACCAGGAAGCTATGTCCTGGCCCTCTACTTTAATGGGAGATTCTGCCCAAACTGTTGGGCAATCTGTCTTTCAAGGAGATTTTGAAAGTATCACAGGAATACAGCAATTTTGCAACTTTCACTTGGTAAGTTTTCCTCTAAATTTTCCTCTAGCTGAAGGTGCCTTTGTAGACTCAGCGGGTGCCCAGGGAGGATCTGCTTCAGGTCATTTGTGTTTCTGATGGTAGGGCTTTGATGCAGGGGGCTTTCCCAGGATCCCCTGGCAGGGGGTGGTAACGACCACTCAAGCCTCCAAAGTCTCACTTCTCAATTTTTCTACTTTCCCATCAGCAGAATTGGAGTTGGAAGTAAAATAATTTAATTTAGTTAACTCTTATTCTAAACAAGTAGTGAAAATAATTACATAAAGCTCTACTAAATAGTACTTCATTTCATAACATTATCAAATAGAAAATTATCTACGTGACGAGCAACCTTCATAGATAAATAATTATTTTATGAAATAGTCCATCTTCTTCTTTTCCTTTTCCTACACAGCAAGATGAAGACTACTGTCATTTCAGCAGCAGCAATACTCATCCAGCAACCCATCAGCAGCTGGCTAAGATTTGTACCTTTAGGAAGAGATAAATGCAAAATGGCAACTGTTTTTGGTTCTCTTTAAGTTCCTGAGTTAGCATAGGCTAAAAGAAATGCTGATTACCCATCTAGGAACAGAAGTTTGGGCTGCAGACCAGGTTTAGACAATGTTTTACTCACCAAGTAGAACTTGTTGATTCCAAAATTTTAAGTTAAAAACCTGTCAATGACAGAAAAAATAAGCCCATCACTTTATGGAGAACAGTCAAGTTTTCCTTTGAGATAACAATACCAGGAACCTGACCATAAAATAATCAATATCATGTAGCTTATTCACAAACGACCCTGATAAAATGTTCCATGACCCTGTGCCAGGGAGGCTGAGCTATGAACAGGGGAGAACTGGGGTTCTGGTTTTCTCCCTGCACCCACAGGGCTGGTGGAAATACTCCAGCTTAGTGACAGTTACACTTAATATCAAACTAAGAGTAAAGATTCTTGTCTAAGAGGCTTATTGCTGGAACTACACGCTGCATGAGCCAGGCTTGGGACTTACGGAGACCAGGAAGGCCAAGTGCAGTGTGGAGACCATTTCACTATTATTCCTTCATTCCTGGAACTTCAATTTCCCTTTAATAAAATGAATATAATATTTTCTTCCTAGGAGTCTACTAAATTGACCAGTTAGACCAAAATTAGGCTGATTCGGAAAAAATTCAGATTGCAGTGAGTTCATGTTTTATTTGGTCACCTTCTGTAACCCTCCTTTGGTTGGCCTGGCCCGCTCCATCCCACCTCCAAAGCACAGACACACACACACACATACACACACACACACACACACACACACATACACACACATACAATACCATTCTAGAATTAGAGTAGCCCATGGTGATAGTAACCATACTGTTTTGTACTACCATGCACAGGAACTCTAGAAAAAATAGACCCCATATACTTTTGACCAAAGAATGTTAATAAGGTGGGGTGTTTTGTTTTTTTTTACAAAAGTATATTTTGTTAAACTTAAGACGTTTTTAAATTTTAAGATGCACCATTATTTTATGAACCACTAGAAAAGGAAAATTGCTGTCAATTAAACTAAAACACTGCTTTCTTTTCTCTTTTTATTTTGTCAGTCTTGCTAGAAGTTTATCAATTTTGAATTTTGCAAAGAATCAGCTTTTGTTTTGTTGATTTTCTCTATTCTTATTTTCAGTTTCATTGATATATGCTCTTACCTTTGTTGCTTTTCTTCCTTCTGCTTTCTTTTGATTTATTTTGTTCTTTATTTCCTAGTTTCTTAACATAGGAACTTAAACTATTGATTTGAGACCTTTCCTCATTTCTAAAGTAAGCATTTTAGTGCTATAAATTTTCCTCTCAACACTGCATTAGATACATCCCACATATTTTGATATGTTTTTTTTAATTTTTAGTCAGTTCTATGTATTTAAAATTTCCTTTGATACTTTTTCTATGACCCATGGATTATATAGAAGTGTGTTGTTTAATTTCCATGACTTTGTGTTATTGATTTTTGGTTGATTCCATAATGGTCAGAAAACACACTTTGTATGATTTTAATTCTCTTAAATTTGTTGAGGTTTGTTTTATGGTCCATGATAAGGTCTATCTTGGTCAATGTTCCATGGGTGCTTGAAAAAATTCTGTGTATTCTGCTGCTGGAGATGTAGTGTTCCATGTGTATCATTTAGAACATTTTGGTTGATTGTGTTGTTCAGATCTCTATCTTTGCAGATTTTCTGTCTGGTAGTTCTATCAGTTTCTGAGAGATTAATGTGGAGATCTGAAACTAAATTGTGGATTCATCTTTCTAGTTCAGCTCTGTCAGTTTTTGCTTCACATATTTTGAGGCTCTGCTGTTTGGTGTGTGCACACTTCTGCTGGTTTGATCCTTTTATCTTTATTTACATGATAGGGACAAAGGCTCATCTTTTTGTCCCTAATACTTTTCTTTCCTCTGAAGTCTACTTTATCAGATATTAATATAACCGCTCCTGCTTTTCTATTATTATTAATTTTTGGTCTGTATATATTTTCTCACCCTTTTACTTTCAACCTCTCTATGTCATTGAATGTGAAGCAAGTTTCTTGTTATCAGCATAGAGTTGGGTCATAATTTTTATTCATTCTTCTAATCTTTTTTTTTTTTGATTGGTATACTTAACCATTTACATTTAAAGTAATTACTGGTATGTAATTGCTTAAGTCTGTCACTTTATTATTTCTTTTCTTTTTGTTTCTTCTCATTCTCATTATTCTGTTTCTCTTTCCTTGGCTTCCAGTGGGTTAACCATTTCTGAGGAATTCATCTTGGTTTATTGATAGTGTTTTTGAACATATTTCTCTGGATAATTTTGTAGTGGTTGCTCTGGGTATTGCAGTATACATATGTTACTTATCACAGTCAACTGGTATCAACATTTAATCACCTTGAGCAAATTGTGAAGACCTCACTTCTATTTAGGTCTCTGTTACCTTCACCATTTAAAAAATTATTTCCTTGAGTATGAGATGGTATTATGATTTTTGTTTCAATCACAAAATGTATTTATAAAACTCATGAAGAGAAGAATAGTCTATTGTATATATCCATATTTCTGGTCTTCCCTTTGTTTCTTCTTTACTGTTGCTCTAACATCTGTTCTTTTATCATTTACTTTCTTTTTGAAGGATGTTCTTTAGTCAATCATTAAGAGTATGTCTGCAACAATTTTTTCAGTTTTCCTTTTTCTGGGAGTGTGGTTATTTCCCTTCATTCCTGAAGGATAGTTTTGCTGGATATAGAATTTGCAGTTGACAGTTCTTTTCCTCTCAGTGCTTGAAAAATGCTGTGCTGTTTCTTTCTGATCTCCACATGTTTTGATAAGAAATCCTCAAACATTTGAATTAGTGTTCCTCTATAGATAACATTTTATTTCTCTTGAGATGCTTTCAAGACCTTTTCCTTATCTTTAGTTTTTAGAAGTTTGACTATTATTTGGTGTGGACATTTTTTAATTTATCCTTTGGGTATCACTGAGATTTTTAAAATATGTAGCTCTGTATCTTTCACCAAATTTGGGAAATATTTAGTCATTATTTATTCAAATAGTCTTTTAGCACCAATTTCTTTCTCATTTCCTTCTAGGATTCTGATAATACAAATGTTGATTTTTTTGTTTGTTTTTGCCACATATGTTCACAGCTCCGTTCTCTTATTTCCTTCTCTCTTTCTCTCTCCCTCCCTCCCTTCTTTCCTTCCTTCCTCCCTCCCCTCGTCCCTCCCTCCTTCTCTCTCTCCTCCTTCCTTCCTTCCTTCTTCCTTCATTCCTTCCTCCCTCCCCCTCCTCCCTCCCTCCCTCCC